GGGGGGGGATGTGCCTGCGGGCCGGGCCGGGCCAGCTGCCAGTTAGCATGTGCAGCTGTGTGTGCTTTCTTTTCTCCTGACCCTGATCTCGCTCCTTCCTTCTTCCGCTCCTTCGGCGTTCTTTCCCTCCTTGCTGGCGCGTTCCGGTCTCTTTGCGGATCAATCGATGCCTTGGCCCGGCCGTCGGTCGGTCTGCTGCACACATTCTCCCCTGCCCCTGCCTCCCGACTTGCGGCAATGCAGCTCGTGCCCTGTACGACTATGATGCCCAGTCGGCCGAGGAGATCTTCCTCCGTGAGGGTGATCACATCGCCGTTTACGAGACACATGAGGAGCCTTGGTGGCGCGGTGTGGTCGTCGAGTCTGCCTCTCCCGATCAGACCACCGGGCGGAGTGGTGTCTTCCCGGCCAACTTCACCGAGCAATGTTGAGGCTGCCCCTTGGCCATCCCCATTTGCTGCTGCCACGACGATCGTTGCCGCTGTCGAAACCGCACGCGTGCGCGCGCGCGCCCCATTTGTCCTCGTCCCCCTCTCCTCCTTCTCGTCTCTCCCCTCCTTGTGGCCCTGTGGCTGAAATTGTCATGCACACGCCCACACCCACATACACACACACCTTCACGCACCCGCGCGCGCACCCACATCCACGGCCCTGCCTCGCATGTTCCCTCCTGGCGAGGAGCATGGGGCATTTTCCCTCCTCTTTGGTCCCCTCTCTCTCTCTCTCTCTCTCGTTGTGGCCGCCTTGATGAGAGCACCTTGACCAGGATGGTTCCCATCATCGTCCTGTGCACATGCCGGGCTCTTCAAGGCCCCCCGTGCTGTTCCCCTGCTGGCACTGTTGCCTGAGGCTCAAAGTATCCGAAAGCCGCGGTCGCGCACTTGGCGCGCGCGCGCGCGCGCGCGCGTGTGTGTGCCCGCACGCATACACACCTATGAAAATATACATACATACACACATATGCATCCATCTCTTCGGGCAATGCACCCGCCCTTGAACAATGTTGGTGCGTTGTTGTGCCTTCTTCTTGGGCGCGGGGACGTCTGAGACACAGGGCTGGGGGGGGGGGGGGATCGGGAAGGCGGGGCTCCGAAACGGAAGGAGGGACAGACAGACAGACAGATAGGCAGACGAAGCCCCGAAGGACGGTGGCAACGGCGCGAGGAAAGGCGAGGGCCAGACCGCCAAGGGCTGAGGGGTCACGGCGCGGCAAGTGTGGTCTTTCCCCACAGATCGGAGATGGCACACCCGACAAGGGGGGGGGGGGGGGCAGGAGGGGGAAGGACCATGGACAAATGACTGATCGACAGGCGGTCCGACACACCGAGGCCCGGCGAGCCACCGAAGGCAGCGCCCCTAAAGGGCGGGCCAGGAGAGGGAGCGCCGGGGTGAAGCCGTGGAGGGGAGAAAAACGCAATGACGCAAAGCAGGCCCGCCCAGGCCACCCTGCCTTGGGCAGGCGGGTGGGGGGGGGGGGGATAACAACCTCGCTGCTGAGCCTGCGGGGCTTCGAGCAATTGCCGAAATTCCTGCCCATTCCCGCCACTTGCCGACGGCCTGCACGGGAGGAGGAGATGCAAAGCTCCCGCGACATGGGCACACTCGGCACCGGGGGATAGCCCAGCCGGCTGCCGGTGCACCTGTGTGCAGCCTTCGGTGACAATCCCCCGGGTGTCAAAATCACGGTTACCGTCGGGGGGGGGGGCTCGGGCAGCGGCCTGGACCACACGCCCAGGAGGCCGAGTCTTCTTCGGATCCCCCCAGGGTCATATGGGGGAGGCCGGAGCGGGGCGGGGCGGGGCGGGGGTTCGCGGGGTGAAGTGGGGCTCGGGGGTGGGACTTGGCAAGATCGCCAACCACGCCCGGAGGCCGGGCAACGTGCGTGCGGGCTACCCTCCCATCATGGACGTGGTGAGGGCATCACCACGCAAGCCGGCGGGGAAAATGCGTTTCTGGCCCCCCCCCCCCCCTCCCTTCACACATACTCGGCCACCCATCCAGACATTGTCTGGACCCTGTGGGCACACATGTTTGGGGGTGTTTCAGACAGACCGCCCCCCCCCCCCCCCTTCACCCGCGGCCCAACCCGCCGAGCTGCCGGCCGGGGGAGGAGATACATTACGTGTATCGTTCGATCTTCTGGGGCTGAAAACAACACCGGCCCACCGAGCCGGTGGATCTCGTCCCCACGCCCCCCCCCCGCTCCTGCGAACTCAGGATGGGCGCCGCCGCGCTTAATAGCCCCCACACACCGGCAGGCTGAATGTGCCACGGCACTCCCACCGGCGAGTCGGCCCCCC